TCGAATGACCTTGGACAAAGTCACTTTGCTCTCTCTGCTTTTGCTTTTCAGTTTTTAGGTTAATGTGTAGAAATATATCTAAGTTCTTTGCAGGATATTCATGAGCGACAACACTTTCAGAGCTAGGCATAACATTTCCCACGTACTTTTGAATGGATAGACATCTTATAGAGAATTTTTGAAAATTTGCTTTTTAATTTTTTAAACAATCCTCTTTTTAGAGGATTATGATTGCAAAATGAGAATCGATTTATTTACTCAAAATCCTGTACTTGACTCGGAAGTCTTCCACTTAGTCTAATCATCAGTGTGTGTTGCAGCTTACCTCCATCCCTGCAAGATGTCTTGCTACGACCTGTGCTCCACCTCTGCCTGCGGCGTCTACCAGCCCCAGCCCCTTGCTGACAGCTGCAACGAGCCGTGTGTCCGTCAGTGCCCTGACTCCACAACTGTGATCCAGCCACCTCCAGTTGTTGTCACCTTCCCCGGACCCATCCTCAGCTCCCTCCCCCAGGATTCGGTTGTGGGATCCTCCGGAGCACCAGTCCTTGGGGGCTATGGGGGCTATGGCTCCCTGGGCTACGGGGGTCTGTACGGCTATGGAGGCTATGGCTCCCTGGGTTACAGGGGTCTGTATGGCTATGGGGGCTATGGTTCCCTGGGCTACGGGGGTCTGTGCGGCTATGGGGGCTCCCTGGGTTACAGGGGTCTGTATGGCTATGGTAGATCCTATGGTTCTAGCTATTGCAGCCCTTACTCCTACTGGAACAACTGGTACGGTCGTGGCAGCTGTGGACCCTGCTAAATCCTACAGAAATATCCCTTGAGTAAGGAATGACCAGCAACTAAGAATCTTGATCCACGGCAGTGGTCCCAAAGGAGATGTTGTGAAGTCCTGGTTACTGCCACTCCACTGCAGTGGAGCTGGGAGCACACAGCACATCCTTAATTTCTTCACCCTCTACGCATGGTCTTTGGGGCTTTTTTCCATCTATGTGTATCATGGGCATGACAAAACAAGTAATTTATATTATAAAATGACACTTCACTGTCCAGCTAAAGAGGAACAATTATGGAAGGAATTGTCTGCACTCTGATGCATATTCTTGATATTCCACAATGCTTTTCTGTGAATGTTTATTTCTCATTAAAGTGATTCTACTCTGCATCAAACAAATCAACTTTCAGTTTCAATTTATTCTGCTATGGATATACAACTCTCCTCTCTGTAGATGAGGAAAGCTCACATCCTTACATAGGATAAGGCTAAGACTTTGAAAACACAGCTGAAATGGCCCAGCTATCAGTGAAGTCAGTCACCCTTTGTTGTACTCTGCAAATATTTGGGAGCAGGAATCCTCCTTGCCTAGCTGGCCTGGGTTACAATAATAACATTATGTTTAGAAAGAAACCACACTAAACGTCCTTTCCCTAATGAGCCACTTGAACATCTTCCCTGATCACAGCAGAAGAAGAGCCAGTGGCTCAGCTGAGACTGGATTCAAAGCAGATTATGGGAAAAAGGGTGGCAGCTGATGACCCGAGTCAGGAGGGATCTAGGGAGGTGGGGAGAGAGTGGTAAAGGGTATTGGCATGGAGCTGCTGAGAGGGAGAGGGTTGGAGGACATGCAACAAGGAAAAGAACTCTTCAGAGGTGGGTTGACTAATGTACATTTTAGATGATGAATATCAAAGGAGGTGTTGAAAGTCTGAGCTGCTGAAAATGAGGGTTTGTTGTGAGGACTTCCTGTGCTAAAGGAATTGGGAAACACAACAGTAGTGTTGAGGATATGTATCTGGAGTTATGATTTTTTTTCCACCTTTTGAGCTTTCCAGGCACCGTAACTCTGTTCTATCCGTTCCAGCTGTTCTTGCTGGCATAGTCGAATTAGCCCATGGAGGAGCTATATGGAGTAGCTGTTCTTCCATCAAAAAGCATCCACCACCTTAGATTTCACGATTATACAGAAGAACCATTGCCCACACTTCAGATTTAAAAGTTCCATTTTATGGCCCAGAAAACTTTATATCTTTAAGGATTTGTTAGAAAATTTTTTTCCACTTTCTGCAGAGACTGTTACTGAGGACAGTGTTTAAGTATTTACGTGAGAACCATGAAGTTCCAACAGGTGAATCAGACACTTACTTGGAAGAAATCCTTACTAAAGTCTTGTTTTTTTAGGAAAGAGTCTAAAGCTAGTAATCTACCGTTTCCTTTCTCCACCACTACTAATCTGTAACTAGTGGGTGTACAACCAAGCCAAATTCTTCAAAAATCTCAAGAATCTTTATCTGAAAAGTGGGGAGGGCAGGACAGTAGTTCCTTCTGTGCTGAGGGCTTTGCATTGCTTTTGCACGTTTGAAATCCCTGGTTTTTTGGATAGGGCATTCATCTACATAGTTTAAACTGTTACTGACAGCTGCACAGGTTAGATTTCTCCTCAGACAAATAACATGGGTAAAAACATGAGAAAAGACCACCAGAACATGGCAACATTGATGCAATTAACTTTTAATGATAGTGAGAAAAGGAATACATTTTCAGAATCTGCAAGAAGTAAGAAACTGTTCTCTAGGCAGGGATACATTCACATAAGACTGTAGCTGTTGATTTGAACAAATAGGAACAATTTTGAGCAACCTTGTTATATGTTTACACTAGACAATATGGAAATGTGAGGGGAGAAGCATTAAGGCAGAAACTGAAAGTAGAAGTTAAGAGGAGAAATTGAAATGGGGCTGAAGGGGTACAGCTCCATGGTCTTGGAAGAGAGCAGTGGAGGTTCAGATGTCTTTAGCTGTGAAACCATCAAATGTCTTTTGTTGGTTATACCTCACTCAGGATATTCCTGTAGGATTTAGCAGGGTCCGCAGCTGCCACGGCGGTACCTGCTGTACCGGTAGGAGTAAGGGCTGCAAGAGACAGAAACATAGGATCTA